CTTCACGCATTTTTGGCCGCGAAAGTGGTTCATCATTCATGCTTGTGGACAGAACCACATTGTCGAAAGAAGGCGTTTTAACACCAAATGAACGCGGAGCTTGCCTCTAGGGCGGATTTGTGATCGCCTTCAAAGGATAAATCAGCCAGTATACATTTTTTGAAACGGACGATTTGTGCTCATATCTTTACCTGGTTACTTTAGATGACTGATTGACTTTTGATCACAGAAAATTTATACTCTTATTCGCAACTTTTCCCATTCCTATAAATGACCACAACTTCGGCACCTTATACAGTTTACACTATTTTATGAGTATTCCACATTATTTAGGACAACTACACCCTAGAAGTTTACCTCTATAATGAAGAAAACGAGGACTGGTATTGTCATCACGATTATATTCTAGATGCTCCTCCTCTATGTCTTGAACCAATCCAACATGATCCGGGAAACGATGAAACGGGGAAGGTGAGTGGTAGAAAATTTAAGTCCCTTATAGGCATCTCCCTTGTTTTTTTTTGATTGACGTGGAGTATGACGAAAAGCTTGGAGTGGCTGAACTTGAAGACAAAACGCACGCTCACCTGTGAGGTGCATGGTGCATCCTCGAAATGTGCGGGGCTGACAGCCCCCCCCCCCCACAGCTGTGCGTAGTGGCTTCCCGCCCGAGCATGTGCGAGGATGAATATCCAGGATCGTGGGATAGGCTTTCTTCCATATTTCGCCTAAAAAGCAACTTACACCGCACACACGCTTCACGCCAATGCAATAGCTCGATCGCATCTTAACCGATCGGCCTTCTGCGCGCGGCTCTTCTAGCACTTTGATGTTTGTATGTTTTGATGTATAGAAGTCATCTCTTCTTACACTATTGGTCTCACAGCGAGTATGGGGATACATCGTTCGTGGTTGTGATCATTTCTTTGCTGATTACACTCTTTCTTTGCGCTGCAGCAATCCTTGCATCCTTAGTCACAGGATGCGTCCTGCTGCTAGGAAAAACACTTTGAAGTACGATTCCTTCAGAAGTTCCACGTCTCTTACAGCCTCCCTGCCCTCCACCCTCTCCATCCCCCACTACCTACAATCTCTGTGAATTCTGCCACTTCCTATCCCCTTTCCCTGGAAAACCTCCGTCGAGCGGAGGAGGGGAGGTGTATGGCGTACACCAAACAGGAAAAACCAAGAAAAATACACAACAAAGCAGCGTTCTCGAAGGCAACTACGATCACTCCCTCCCTCCAGCGACCAAATACGACCCTATCCCCGGCTGGGGATTTCAGCGTACGACGTCTCTGCCTCCTTTATATCCCTTTTTGAGCTTTTGAGCGACGTTCCAGATCTTTCTGATATTTGGCACCTTGTGCAAGTTTTTGAATTTAATTCATGGATATACTGTTCCATCTGGATACCTGAGTCTCATGAAAACATACTCGCGAAACAGAAAATTTGGGCTAAATGGGTTTTCTTGTACAAACCCACCGGAGTTAAGAAGTCATAAAAGTCAATCGCCCTAATCGATATCGCCTTTTGGAATGCGGCACGACTCTATTTATTCACATGTAGAATATAGCGCTGATTATATGATAAAATGCTATGCGGTATACAATGACTTGCGGAAATCAGTGTCATCACCCCCCCCCTCCGATGAAGCTGGTACCGATTCGTCGTCCGGAGGGTAGAAGGCTTGGTTGGCGTGAGCCATTCCAGGGTTCAATTCGCGGACCGTGCGCGTGGTAAGCGTGCCACTTGCCACTACTCCATAAGACATGATGAGGAAATATCACGTGTTCTCAAACCTTAACATTTGTGATGTTTCAGGGTAACCTTATTTCTATCGGTACGATGGAACCAGTAATCAACATTTGGGATCTAGATATAATGAATTCAGTTGAACCTGTTGTCTCTTTAGGATCAAGGGGCAAAGGTAGGAGCATTGTGATCACTGGTTGTTCACTATGTGTTTTTATGAGGTGCATTAGGTCGAAGGAAGAAACGGGACGGAAGTCAACAGGGTCATTCTGATGCTGTTCTCAGCCTGGCATGGAACAGAATCACGACACATGTTCTAGCAAGCGGAGGTATGCAAGTAAAAGTTTTTTTTGTGTTTCTCACTTCGACGTTCATTGGATGCGAATACGCAAACCGTACTATCATATTTGATACCAAATGATAGCAAATAGTGGAGATGCCGAATGATAGCAAGTAGTATAGGTGCAAAAACGGATTGCGCTTGCGATTCCGTTTGATTAGCGAATGGATTGCCGAAAACGCTGACGACCAGTGTTATAACAGTCATTTTCTTCCTTGGCTTTCCGAGTTGTACAACTACTCAAGGTTGCGTTCATACTTTGCGGCAGCGTCCACTAGCGTTTTGAGCGTCCTCTGGTGCCCGGCAGCGTCAGCGACTGGAAAAGTGTAGACATTGGTCTAGCGTCTACCAGCGTCCCAGCGTCCACTAGCATCTACCAGCA